TTCATTAATAACAACATCGTCATCAAGAATTATTGTTGATCCAGCAGCAGGTACAATAACGGCTACAGATTTGGCAATTAGTGAAATTGGAATGTACATTATTAAACTTCAAATAACATCATCAAATCGTGTATATTCATTTCCATTTACTTCAAATGGTATTTTAGTTAAAGAAAATTCAAGTAAATTTTAGTTTTTCTTTGAAAGAAAATTATTTAAATTTTATACTATGATTTATATTTTATAGCTGTTCTCGAAGTTTTTACCGGTTTTCCAACATCAAATATAACCTATAATGTTGATTATGATTCATATGTAGCAAATGGTCAACTCGAAATTTTACGAGCTACGATCTATAATTATTTATATTTTGTTGTGAAATTACCTATTAGTAGTAATATCGTCCTAGTAAAAGGTTTGTTAAATTAAAGATTTCAAGTTTTGTTTTTTGTTTTAATTAATGCGTTGAAATTTATAGGTAGTACCATTTGTGCTTTAAGTTTCAACTCTGGTACTCTTGGCAGAGCTCAGGCTCTGCTATCAGGTTTTACTTCAATGTTAACAAGTCGAAATGCTATATCCGGTGTACCACTTTCTTCAATCAATTTTTTGGGTCGATCATATACTGTTTCATCGGATTCAAGCTCAAGCTCAAGTAGCGATGGAAGTAATATAGGATTAATTGTTGGTCTTGTTGTGGGTCTAGTTGGTGGTACTATTGTTATTGTTGGTATAATTTTTGGTTTTTATCAATGTCAACTGAAAAACAAAGGTCTACGTCTTGTAAATAATGTTGAAGAAGTAAATTCATATCCAAATCAATTAGGACGAAATAATGAAAATACGACAAGTCCAGTAAGACCAGTAGATGATGGTTCTCATTTAATACGACGTACGTCCATTACATCACCAACTCCATCAAATTTTGATAATAATCGACTTCATTCACCATTATCAAATGATGCAAATGAAAAACGAGCTCCATCAGCTTCAGTTAGCATTACTATGCTTGGTCCTATGTCATCAGCTGCTCAAACACGTCCATGTACACCAATGTCAGCTGTTGAACTTATCAAACTTGACTAGATTAAACATTTATTTATCTCTCTCTCTTTTCTTTCTTAATCAACAATCAAATATACTAACATTCTTTTCTTCTTACATTCATTTTAGTTGCCCTTCATATAATTATTTCTATTTCTATCTAACTTCCAAATAAACTTACATTTAATTCTCTCTTAGTAGATCATAAAATGCTTTATTTGTTTAAAATTGAAATAAATCGAACTCTAGTGAATGTATTGAGTTCAGGATAGCCTGCTACTAGTTGTATCACAGAAATCTTGAAGAACTTTATGGATTCTTTTAGCACTCGACTATAAAATGTTTCTAAATATTCAATCTACAAACTTGTTGAAAATTTGTTCATAGAATGCTATAAAAACTGACCAGGTACCTAATCAATATCATATGCTAAGACAATTCTCAGCAGAGTACTCAACTAAGATCTTGTTACATACCAGTAATAGGGTACATTACTGACAAGTGATCTATTACATGGATATTTTGAACTCAGTATATTCACTAAGAAAGACAGAATTGTGTAAAACATTTGTAACAAAAAAGATTCTATATATATATATCTATTGGCTTATTATGATTAAAAGATCATGTTCAGTTTTTAAAAGATGTGCTTAGCAATTATTTCATATGAAAGAATTCGTTATTATTGAAATGATGATGATGATATCTTTTCTTTGATTGTTCTCAAATAATTTCTTGTCGTTCAATGCAAAGTACTAATTCGAAATAAATATCTAATAGAAATATAATTATCAAAATTTATGTTTCATTCAATTTATATATTGATAGAAATATTTAGAAATATATTGAGATTTTGATTATCAATACAATGTTTTTTTTTTATTAAGTATTCGAAAGATCATTTATTTTTATATTCTAATCGATCGATTCGATTCACAATCGATCGTCGAAAACAACTCGTAAATTTGTTAAAATATCCTTGTTTGTTTGATTGTAATGGTGAATCAGTTACTTGTTGACTACAGCGCTTTCTTTCTTTTCTTGTTATAGATTGTGATAATTGCTTGTTGGTTTTTTGTTTTTTCGCCTTTAGAAATAATGGTGAATCATTACTAACACTTATTGCACTAGTACTTTGGTGTCGTTCTGTATTTATTGGAACACAATTAGGTGTTGATATGTATTTTTTGTTATTATATAACATATTTATTGTTTTATTCTCTCCTTCAGTACTTTTTGGTCCTTCAATTACATTCAATAGAGAAATATTATCTAAATAAATAGATAACATGAATAAAATTTATTATTTTGAAAAATTTAGTAGATAATTTTATTTCAGAAGTTTACCATTGATTTCGTTAAGAAAACTTCTAGAAGGAGACGTTTGATATTTAGAATAATTATCAAAATTGATATCATTTGGAGTTTTTTTGATTGAAAATTGTTTATTTGACATAGGACTTCTGATTTTTTGTTTACGATGAATACTATTGCTGCGTTGTACCGATGTCATCGATAAAGGTGACATTAAATTTTGTTCCCGATTTTTGTTCAATATACTTGGACTATGCTTAGTTTTATTAGGAGATGTCAGTGTAATTGAAGAATCATCACTGTCGACCTGTGAGCAAAAAAGAACATATGTGACAAAATTTTATATATACAAGAAATCATCGGTTCTTTAATAGATCGGATTTAGAATATCGAATTCAACGAATCTGAATCACGGTCTTATATGAATAGAATATTTAAGGACATCCTCCGCCCGTCTTTTCAAGATTGCTGTAGAACAGCTCATCAGAAAAATTTGAAATTTTCAGGATAGGTAGATCTTTACAAGTAGAACAAAAATTGTGATAGACTTAAAGTATCTGCATGTTGTCTTCTATGAGATATTGCGATCACAATGATGAAAAATGACTTCTTCGTTTCTCTGAGATGCTCTATTCGACCAAGCTGAAATTTTTTTGTACAGGCACTAGACACAGTTTGGGGTGAGTATCTTTTTATTTTTTTGCTCTTTGAATAGAAAAGCCAAAATATTAAAGGTACCCTAAAAAGTGCGTCTTGTTTTGAATAGAGATTTTTTTTGTAAGAGCTACCAAAAATCAACACAATAATATTTCTCGAAGCAAAGAAAAAATACTCATCCCAAACAGTGTATAGTATATAATAAAAAAAGTTTCAGCTCGATCAAGCATAGTAAGCTGAAGAAACAGGGACGTTTTTGCACTTTTTTTGTGACAAAGTTGATTGGGAAATAATACAAAACAAACCCGTGATAGATACTACTACAGAATATGCAATGACCACGAAAAAAATACAAAAATTTTTAGATCATGAAAGAGGAAGAAAATATCCTTTATCAGATATGATTTATATTGAAATCTTCAAAGATTTGACAATTTCTTTTCTTGTATAGAATATGTTTAATTTATTTTCATGAATTATTACAAAAAATTTACTCACATGTGTTTGATATGAAATTGGACTTTGGTTGATATATTTTCTTAAATTTTGTCTAATACTTGATGTACTTTTATTTTCTCCAATATCATTCATCGATAGATCTTTACGAGATTGAATTGATTCACGTGATTGCTTAGTATTTATTGATTTGTTGTGTGCCGGTGATAAACTTTGACTAGTTTTACGTGATCTTCTGTTTGATGAAGTTCGATATCCAGAAGTTTCTAAAGATTGAGGTGATAGTGGAGCACTTTTGTCATTTTTTTCTGTGTAAATGTTTAATTGTTGTTGTTGTGGAGTCGCACGTGAAGGTGTACGTTGTGATACACGATGATCTGTCATTGGTGTTAAAAGTAATTCTTCAGTATGAAGAGATATTTCACGAGTTGTCATGCGTCCACTACTATCTGGTACTATTAATTGATATAATTACAAGAGATTTATTGATTTATATAATATCTAAGTCTAGTAATGACAAAGCACACTTACCATACATAGAACGAAGACTAAAAGGTTTATCAATTTTGAAATTATCACTTGAGAATGTTGATGATCGTTTTGAATTGACAATAGATGGTTGTTGTGATATAGTACGACTACTACCAAATCTATTTGTTGGAATGTTTTTATCTTGAAATATTTTAGAGTTTATTGATATTCTTTCATTTTTATCATTGAAATCTGTATTGAATAACATAGATAATAATATAATTTTTTTTTAAAGTAGATTCGCAAACAAACTACCTTGTTGTTTAGCAATTTTAATATTCATTTTAGGAGAATTAACTGATATTTGTTGTATTATTGGCATTCGAGTGTTAGTAGAACTTGGCGTCTTTTGTCGATTACTATCGAATTCCATTTCTTCATTTAAAAGATTATTTTGTTTGTATTGTTGTTTTAATGTTTTTTGAAATGCTCGTTTTTTTCTATTCAATGGTTTATATTCTCCAATTTCATAACTTAAATTTCGACGAATATTTCCATCGTCTATTGCATACATCAATCCAAAATGATTATCTTGTTCATTTGAATTTTTCATTGGTTCTAAAATTGGCCATGGTATACACATGTTGGAACTATTACATGTTAACAAGCCTTCAGTAAATAATGTTGGATTATCAATAATATAAGAAGAATTCGTACATGGATATATGTCGGATATCAATGTTTGCAAACTCTGAAGTTTTTGAAAAAATTCTATCCGATGAAACTTCAAGTGTAAAAAATACGTTGCTAACCTACATTTGAATTGTTATTTATATTGGCACAATCTGTACAAGATTGGATGATTTTTTCTAAACGATTTAATAATTGTATAAGCATGGTTGTCTGTGGATGATTAATCATAGTTTCATTTTGTTGTTGTTCTTGACCTAAATAATGAATGAACGAAGCAAGTTTATGAAGAATAAAGGAGATAGTTGAAATATTCAGAAGAGAAGAATTTGCCATATGTTCATGAATATTATTTAACTGTATTTGTAATGTTAAACGAAATCGATGAATAAATTCAGCAACATCCACTATTTTTTTAAGTTGAAATTGACTATAAAATTGTTCATAATGAGTAATTGATGAAAGGAAAAGTAAAAATTCACCAAGAAAATCAATTAAGATTCTCAAAATATCCTCTGTTGATTGTTGTTGTAAGTTATGCTCATCATTACATGCTGAATTATTATATATTTGACTAGTAGACATACAATAATCATTCATGTGCAAAGGTATCTTTTCAAATAAATTTTCAAAACATTGTTTACATTGATTAGAAGAATTTAAAGACCGAGATAATAAAGGAATTGTTTCCGATTCTTGGTAGAATCGTCTTGTTGGATTATGATACATTTCTTGTCGCACAACTTCGATTTTTGGTATTATATTATCAATCATTTCATGAATAAACAATTGTTTAACTTGAGATTGATTGATTGATTGATTGATCATAGATACAAACTATTGACTCATTTGTGAATAGTCTCTTCTATCACTCGATTAAGATCGAAAGTTTGATATTAATAGAGTATATTCAAATTTGAAGCGAGACTATTCAAACGTGTTCGAATAACATTAAAAGAAAAAATATAAAAAAATTATTTTTCTCATAATATATCATGAAATAAAAAAAATCGATAGTGAAACTATGGTTATAATGAAAAATTAAAGTTTTTGCATATCATTTTGCTGACATATTAAAAAATGACAATCGTTCATCTAGCTGTTGTTTTTTCATTGGTGTTTAGATTGACATAAAAGTAAATTTGATCGTTTCTTGACTTATCCATTTATGACTAATTTTTTCTTGACAAATATCTTTGTTTTACAACTTTGTGAGTAGCGCATAAGATATCATAAAGCGAAAACAAAAGAACAAGCATTGAAGTGTGATCATTAGTTTTCTTTTACGAGAGAATTTCCTTAAATATTAGACTGAGAATATGAAGGTTCGATAGGATGTAGCTAGCAATGAATTACTCCAATTTGATTTGCGTGCAATTTATTTCTAGTAAGAGTTGCAAATTTTCCAAATAATAAGTAGCATTGCTAATTTTGTTGCTAAATCTTAGTTTTCTCAACGAAGCAAAGACAAATTGCACTGAAATGCTTGCTGTATCTATTTGAAATAGTAGTTTTGATCATCTAAAAGTTTCAATTCAAAATAATAAGAATTTCAGGAGAAAGAAAATTTTCAAAACTCTGCTCTCATTCTTGTAGTTTGTCTTGATAGTTTCAATTAGTGTTTTATTGAATACTTAAAGTTCAACCATTCAAGTATCAGCTATTCAACTGTCGAGTTGCTCTATGCATAAGTGTAGTTGTCTATCTAAAGATTTCGTAGCATCTTCAGTTGTTGGAATATCCTCTCAATTATTATTCATGTGTGTGCAAAGAGTGTCTAATACCTCATTGATGAATACTATAATATTTGTAACTTCAGCTGTCCAATTATTAAAAATTTCCATAAATGAATTCAAATTTCAATTATAACATGTATGGTTAGGATCTTTCTTGCGCTTGTCTATTTCTTCGTCCGATGTGCTATGGTTCAATATTGGTTCGTCCTCTTGGTGATTCGAAGTTCTTCCCCATATTAACTCATATACATTGAACAATTGATCAACCAACTCTTCTTCTTGAAATGGATTAAGTGATGCTAGAACCAGAACATTCTCCGGCGGTCGTTCTCGAGATAATTGTGTGATTCGGTTTACTTTATCCATTGTCTATCCTTTAGACTACGATAAATTACATTGTCTTCACATTTCCGAATAATATATATTTTTTTCTTTCTTCTATATTCTTTATATTGTCACAGGGATGCCATAACAATTGGAACTATTGATAAATGAAAAGCAGATCCTTTTGAATTCCCTCGTTTTTGTTTGATATTCATGCATATATACGAGAAGAGATTAATGTCTTATTAGAAAAGTATATGTTCCAGACCGATAACAAGAAAAAGAAACAAATTAAACTTGTTATAATAGGTAGTTCGGCTTTATTTGAAAATCGATCTCAAAAAAAGAATTTTATTCGACAAGACATTTTGTCATTAAACAGTGGAACATGAAAATTGTAAGGCGAGAAAGAAAACTTTCTCTCTCCTGAAATTCTATAATTGTGAGTTAAAACTTTCATATGATCAAGACTACTATTTGGCATAGATACAGCAAGCATTTCAGTCCAATCTGTCGTTATATCTTCGAAAAAACTAAGATTTAGCAGAAAAATTGATAATGTTACTTTTCATTTGAAAAATGTATAACTCTTATCAGAAACAATTTGAGCTCAAATCAACTTAGAATATTTCAATACTAGTTATATCTTACCAAGTCTTCATATTCTTATTCAAAAAAAAGTTCAAGTAACATCAAAAGTTCCTTCGTTAAACTATAAACAACAGATAGCTAATTAAATTCAATAAACAACTGGTATTTGTCTTTTATTTCACACAAGTTCAAGAACACTTAGTTTAAATAAGAAAAAAAAGTGAATTAATGTAAATTTACATCGAAATAGAAAAGTGCATAAATAGTAACTATAATTAGTTGATCAAGTAACCTGTTTTTTATGGCTCCGATGAAAGCACATAACTTGGACATATTATTCGAGGCTCGAATGTGTTTGAATTTCTCCCGGTGGGTAATGACCAAAAGTCCTTGAAAAAATCCTGCAGATATCCCAGCTCAGAATATTACGTTCACGTTTCATCGATTTTCGGAATCGTCCTTGCGGAATACGGTAATTTTCCTGTAGCTTTTCGACTACTTCTAGCAAAATTCGCTTGTTCCTAGAATTCGAATTCATCATTCTATGGAGATATCTATTTGTAGTTTTAGAAAATTCTTCTACTATTAGGCCTAGGCTCATCATTATTTAGTGAAAATGCATTACAAAATATAAAATAAATGGTATTCTTATGCCATTATAGTTATTGCTTGAATATTTTTATGTATGATGTTATTTAATATCGAGGTCCAATTTTTATTTTTGTCAAAAAAAATTGTAAATATTTAAATTTCGATAAATTTTACACAGATATAACGCATCTATTAGATGTTTATGGCCTGTACATACACTAAAATATAGAATAGTATTTAACTACAATTAGATTCTACTGAAGAATCTTAATCCGATCTATTTAATCTTATTAGATGTAGTCTTTGAAATTATTTTCATGTCATGCTTTGTCTACATGCATGAATATTAACTTTTACAACGAGAAGAATAGATATATACTTGACATTATGCATCAATACATTCTATATAAAGTAAAGAATCATTAATTTATAATGCCAGGTCATTAAAAAAAAGTTCTCTAATCCTAATTCCAGTTTGATTATGTCTAGCAAATAAGAAAGCATCTTTTACGTATTTCAATTTATGCTTTATTTCAGCATTTTACATTTTTGTAATATTGGTAACTATGATATATTTGTAATTTTTATAACACCAAGATCATCCTAGTGAAAAATTTTCATGAAAAAAAAAAACTGAGATCACATGCATTCATCAAAACGTGGAAAACTGTCTTGTCTACGATGAACACATCTTATATGATGGTGAATGCGTTCGAAATCGACAAGAATATGTTGTACATCTGAAGAAATGAATTCTTTGACGTTCCATACCATTATAGAATGCTTTCTTTTCGGTTCAAACTCGCATTTCTCCTTGTATAAAACACTTTCTGAATCGTTCCATGAACTAATGGAATGGGTCTTCGTTCGTTCTTTTTTTGGAACGATTACGATAAGTTTCTATCCATATTAGATCACTTTATTTGACGTTCTTTAGAGAATTATCTAAAATAGATTCTTCGAACTAATGGATGCATTCAAGACGATCTTATATTATTCTTCGAAAGAAATGAACATGTTTTCTGTCGTCTTCCAAATTGCCGAATGCTTTCTCATGGATTAAAAATCGATTTTGCAAAAATATAGAATACGTTCTTGTTCGTTTCATAAACTCAATAAAAGAATCTTGTGATATCAATAACGAATATTGATTAGCTCAGATTAAATTCTTCGGTTTTCTCAAGTACATTAACTCTTTTTCTCATTGTGTCTTAACTAAAAATATGATTATCACTATCACCTGTAACCATCTTTTATGAACATACATTTTCAAGCTTAAACTTTAGCGGTCGATATTGAGAAATTCTTACTTATAATACGCTGATAAAAATAATGACATAGAATGAAATAACAAGGAAAGAGAACTTAGACGAATACTGACTTATACGAAATCTATTTTATTATTATCATTTGTTACTAAAGTGTTAACATTCCAAAATACACCTTTAACAAATGTTCTATCAAATGAGATCTACGTAAATCTAAATACACAATAATTTTTGGTATATAAAACACAACTAATTATATAATTCATTAAATAAAGGACGTTACACGATTTGTTTGATATTATTGTTATTCAATAATGTATTTTTAAATTCTTTTGCAGTACAATGATAAACAATTATAAATAATATATACGATTGTCGGTTAATTCTGAATATTATCTATTGAAAAATATGTTAAACATTGTATGGTTTTTTTTTTCATGAAATTTTATCAATATAGATAACTCTTACGACAAAAAATTTGGAAACAAGTTAATTAAGATTTTATTGTATCAATGGTTCGAAATAGTCGCCATGCTTATTTATGCACAATGACGTTCCTTCAAATCGACTATGAGAAGTTTTTCTTTTTAAGCCATCTTTATTTTATAAATCAAGTATCTTACTTACAGCATAGTTTAATCATTGTGAGTTATGTTTCTCGGTTAGATTTTGTTTGACTAGATTCAGTAAACCAAAAATCAAACATTGGCAAGGCGAGAAAAAATCTAATGATAATCGAAAAATTTGCGACACTTTTGTATTTGAGATAACTATAAACATCTATGTGACTATATAGTTTTGTATTGCCATGATGAATTTTGACAGCGTGCGTACGAGATCCTATTCTTCGCTTACTGATATGTTAACAATAGAGTTCTGTATCGAACTCTGAAATCCGACTCCGACAGAGTCAGAATCGGAGTGATTGCGAAGAATGTTCCTGGAGTAAATGCCGAAGTTACATCAATAAATGATATCAATTACTTTTAGTTTTGCATAGTAACAACTTTATTCTTTATATGTTAAGTAATGAACAAAAGTACACTACTGTATAGATTCATGAATAAGTTTCAAGTAAAAAACCAACGGAGAGACATTCTCATTAATAAGTAGCACAAAGAGAAGTTCATATGCTAGTAAAAAAAAAAACAATTTTCGAAGATTCTCGAAGGTGGGGCCGAGCTTCGGAGTTCGAAAGCTCGGCTCCGCATGGCTCTAGTTGACAAGGGGGTTTCCAATGATTACCTATGTCATAATAGCGATCAAAAGCTCTGACTTACTCAAAACATCGAACATCAAGTAGATTGCTAGATCTCCA